GTTGGGAGGGAGGTGTTGGGGCAGATAAGCGTATCTTGCGTGTGCCATCACTAATGTTTTGCGTCAGTTGAATTCTACTTCTCTAACAGAGGTTCTCAACCTGCCTAATGTAGCGACTTTTAATACAGTTCCTCTTGTTGTGGCGACCCCCAGCTATAACATTATTTTTGTCGCTACTTTACAACTTCAATGAATATCTTTTTTGTGATGGTCTTTGGTGACACATAGAAAAAGGTCGTTCGACAAGGTGGGGGGGGGGGAGGAGGGGGGGGGGTGTGGGAGAGATTTAGAACCGCTTTTCTATAAGCTGTTCTCGATGCCGGATTAAAAAGTTATAATTTAGCCGACTAAAATGGCAAGTAATACAGTTGTAGAAAACAAGCATGGGTATGTCTTAAATAGGAGCAGCATTCTTAAAAGCTATTTAAATCCTATCCCGATATACGGAAGCAAATCATGGACGGTAGATTAGTGAAAAATGAAATGGAAACTGCGGGAATGTGGTTTATAGACGAATTATTAAAAAAAAAACTCTGGACAGATAAAAAAGAATAATGAAGATGTTTTGTAAAGGTGGCCGGCTTGATGCTGACCCCATCACCCATCTTGTGCCGATTGGTCTATAGAAATATAGGTATAGCCCAATATGCCTTATACGCCTAAAAGCGTGGAAAATGGATCTTTTTTTTTAATCTACCAACGCCGCAAAGCACTTTCTTTACGAAGAAGAAGAAACACAAAGTTATGTACTGGAATTTACTTCCTAGCGTGTTTCGCTGTGTTTCGTCAGTTGTATACGAGGTTAGTTGCGTATCCTTTACAGGACTTTGCAGAACCAACCCCAACAACCCCTGACTGTTGTGTGGTTTCCCGAGGCAAGTTTACGTCCAGTAGTATGCCATTGCTCACTGGACGGTCGGCTCCCTGATACCACTGTCGAAACCAACGCAAGGCGTATGGCCTGCAGCTGGAATCGAACAGTTGCATACTACAGTAACAATTTATTACATCCCTGTGTTGGTAATGGAGTCCCACTGTGGGGAAAACAAGAATATAAACACTGCCTCTCCAACAAGCATGTCGTAAGAGTCGATAGCTTGGAGCGGGGGAGGGGGGGCTTCCTTCAAAGTCGGAGTGCGTCTGCCTGAGAGGCACGGAAGCTTCTGTGTGCGTACAAATAAGTCAGATATGTAACCGATGTACAGATAACACTCATATTCTGGAACAAGACTCAATGTCGGGAGAAGATAACCAGCGTCACTGCGCACGGTTATAAACCATAAGTGCTCTGCCACCAGTACGGACAACTGAAAAGAAACTGTCCGTCTGTGTCGCCGTCCGCCCGCAACTCTGTAGCTGCAGCAACGTTCCACCATTTACCCCAGAGAATTAACTCTGGTACCCATTACCTAGAGGCTGTGTGAACCACCGTGGACCTCCCGATTTTGCACACAGGTCATAGGCTAAAGCAAGTCGCAGCTGGATTTGAAAGCGAGCCTTTTCTGGACTGCGATAACACGGTCCGTCAAACAAGACAAATGTCTGCGGAAAACGGGGGAGGGGGGGGGGGGGGGGAATATCCCGCCAGAGTTTATAACCGGTGAACGCGAAGACGAACAAGAATTGATTGAAATAAAGCAAATAAATGAATCATTCGAACATATCTAGGGGAGTGGGGGAGGGGGTCATCCTCCACTACTCCAGACCGTGATGATGCAGTTTTTCTTCCGCACTGTTTAGTCACTTCCAAAGGACTTTTAAATATCTAGCCTGTCATGTGTCAGTTTAATAACAAGCGGTGCGGAACTTGTCAGTTTGTCTGTCCGTTTGTTTCCCAAAAAACACACGAAGAAGGGGCGAGTTGAGACAAGAAAACTAAGCCGCAAGCTAAGGAATCAGAATAAACCAACACAACACTCATCTTGTCTGGTGCTCCAATTGGAGGTATATGCTAAATAGGACATCGGGAAACTTAATGGTTCTCTGTGGGGTGAGAAAAATTCGGTCAACTAACTCATCGTCATGTGCCCTGCCAACTGGCGTAAGCGCTTATGCGTCTCAACAGAGCACGATCCCTGGTTGCCTGGAACAGCTGTCATGATAATATCCCTCCATGCCATCGTTTGAGCCCATCCAGCATCATCTCTCTTGGTTTGCATCTACCCCTTTTTCCATTGATCTTTCCAGTTGCCACGATGTTCTCCAATGTCTCTTTTCTCATTACATGGCTAAAGGTCGACTAAGTAGCTTAACTATGTTGTTACTTACATTCGGATGCATTCTTTAAACCTGTTGGTATTTACTTTTCTTTGGAGGAAACAAAGGAGGCCGAGGACGGATCCTTCTTGGGCAACACAATCTCTACGATGTTGCCCAGGCCCTGCGCTACAGAGAGGGTGATCTCTCCTGAACTTAACTCGAGCTGGCCTAACTAATAACACTTGTCATCGCTATGGACAATGAGTCTTATGCCTCACTGTAGTGCACCATAACATTGAGTTGAGTTGATTTGATTCAAGAATGAACATCACCGCACTCGAGGCATTCTCATTGGCGATCCGTCCCTATTTGCAGCAGCCAGTAAAGAGTTCCAGTACTAGTGGTGCCAACAGCATTCTGATTGAATGTCCGTTTTTCCTTTCCTCTAAGCCTTGAGAATCGGTCAAATCCCCTCGTCACTACCCGCTGCTTCGCTCTCATCAAACACTGTGGTGATCCATCTGCTACTCCGAATTGTACACGTTCTCCCACAACGCCCTAAACACGTCTGCCTTATTATGCATCAATATTCCATCAATTTGCGCAGAGCTAGCTAGTCTGTCCGCCTATTCATTTCTCGCAACACCGGCATACCCAAGAGAAGAGATCAAGAGAAGAGATCAAGAAAATGCTCCTCCCCCCGTTACCTCCGAACCAAAGCATGCCAATCTGTACGATGCCCACCAGTCCTCACCTTCCAAAGCATGTTGTTACTATCAAGTCAGTTACTATCACAAAGTGTGCGCTTTTTGTGTGTGTCGTGTTCTATAGCCAGCGGAAAGCTCCAGTGACCGCCTCCACCTCCATTCTTAGGCTGGATATTGTGGTATCACACGCTAGGCTCTTCTGCACCGACCGTCGACCACATACATTTTTTAAGAACTCTCTAGCACTTCTTTTGCCTTTTAACACTGAACCGTTTGTATAAATAAATATTTCTTTTGAGCGCGCATTACCACAACACATAAATCTGGAAACACTGAATGGTGACAACAGAATCATGTTGAGAAATGTAAAAATATAAACAGACAAAGAAAAACAACAAAACAAATAAACACCGTACCCACTAAAACATGTTTATTTATGAAAATCACATGTGATAAATTTCCGATCTTGTTTCAGAAATTAGTCAAGACACAATTAGTTATTTGTACATTTTTTGGACTTGTGAATTAGTAACGCCAGGTCTGACTTTAGATGGTTTGCTTTCGTGATTTGTATTCTTCTGTCTTTAACATAAATTAACATAATGAAAATTGATAATTTGCTGAGAATATGTTTAGTCTTAGTCTACGTATGTTTGTGTGTGTTTTTGTGTGTGCAGTGAGTGAGTGAGTGAGTGAGTGAGTGAGTGAGTGAGTGAGTGAGTGAGTGAGTGAGTGAGTGAGTGAGTGAGTTGAGTGAGTGAGTGAGTGAGTGAGTGAGTGAGTGAGTGAGTGAGTGAGTGAGTGAGTGAGAGAGAGAGAGAGAGAGAGAGAGAGAGAGAGAGAGAGAGAGAGAGAGAGAGAGAGAGAGAGAGAATAACTGTGTGTGAGATTATGTATTTGTTATTTTGGATATTTATTACAAATGAACTGAGCATCTATTGCATTACCTACGACTGCCAATATAAGCATTAACTTAGTTAAATTAAGCGTGTTTGTGTGGTGTTGTGTGTGTGTGTGTGGTTTGATATGTAGCTGGGTGTTACTAGCTCAATATGAGATGAGATATGGACGTTTAATTCATCTGTCAATAAGTATGGGAATAGCTGCGCATGTGTGTGTGTGTGTGTGTGTTGTTTGTAGGTTTTTTTTTTTTTTTATGGTTCTGTCTGTGATGTCATGTAAGTTAACCTCGCTTCTGTCTGTATTTGTGATAATCGAATCACAAAACCCATCACGATATTCAGGGAATAGTGTTTTGTCTACTGTATGTAGTACGAAGTGTGTTGTATGTTGTGTGTCGTTGGTAGTCTACAGTTCGTTATGTGCTATATATTATATGCTGTGTGCAGTATTTTGCGTATTTTTTTAAAGTATTTTTTCATAATCTAATAGCAGGATCCCAGACTTTGAGCCCTGCGCACGTGTTTGTATGCATGTGCGTATGCGTAAATATCTTGACGTGTATGGAAAATAAATACATTTGACAAGAGGCTCCGGGACTGTGTATGCGTGTGTATGTGCGTGTTATGGAAAATAAAATACCCAAAAACATATCATCGACTGTATGTAAGATTGAATCTATATGTATTTGATGTGTATGTATGTACATGTTATGGAAAATTAAATACCCAAAAACATATCATCGACTGCATTTAAATTTGAATTTATATGTATTTGATGTGTATGTATGTACGTGTGTGTGTGTATATATATATATATATATATATATATATATATATATATATATATATATATATATATATATATATATAATGGCTGTCCTTTCAATCTAAGGGTACCAAAACAATTCTATCCCCTCTCCCCCCCACCACCACCACCACAAATCTGTGGTCGTTGCCTTAAGGTAGTCGATGATTAAAATGGCTCGCAGTTAGTTGTATATCTGCATAATAACAAAGGACAAATACACTATCTGTTGACATGTCTACGATTCAGAGAAACATCGACTGTTCAATATTTCATATTGATGAAAATGATAAATTACTCCAAAATGTCACATATGATAGGCAGCTGGCACAATAATAAATGTCATGACACAGATTTCAATAAGCTACCCCGCTGCTTCTAAAGCCCTTACTTTTGGTTTCGATCCCCGTCAAACAATGAAACTAACTGGGAATGCCTGTATGCGGGGCTTATTAACTGGTGCTGGGGAAACAAGTTAAGGTAGTGTGTTGGGAACAACTTCTGATGGGATTCGCTAGAATACGGAGTGTCCCCGTCTGTTGGACGCTTCGCGAATCTCCCAAGGCCTCTCATAAAACGCTTGTCCAATTTCCCGATGTATGGGTTCAGCCCTCTGATAAACCTTTTGTCCTCCCATTGTCCTTTGTCGTAACTGCGTTTTCCGTACTGTTGCAGTCCTCGCATGAATCGTTTCCCAGGTGGTCGAGTGTACATAGATAAGCCTTTGATAAACCGTTTTTCTGCTCCAGATAGTGAATCGAACCCTTCTGGTTTTGCCAGAGTGTAATGAAATCTTTTCCCGTTGTTGTAATGGCTGAGAAATCCTTTCATAAACCTTTTGGAGATGTCCTGGTTTTCGTCGAGTTCATGGTCGAAGTCGAATTCATTATGGCTGTCGCCTAAATCATAATCTCGTTTGGCATAACGCGCCAAACCTCGCATAAAGCGTTTGTTGTGTGTAAATTCCGAATCATAAGCCGGCAAATCATGCCAAATTGCATTATCACCCGTCTCAAAAAGCGAGTCTCCCTTCTCGTAGTTTTCTTTCTCCGTAAGTCTCCTAAGAAGGTCAACGTCGTTATCAACTGGGAATTCAGTTTCCCGTTTCTCACGAACAGAACCGGCTTCTCTCTTCACCAGCCCTCGCATAAACCGTTTATCCATCTGGCTATCATTCTTGGCAGCTGTCTTGAAACCGTCGTTAACACTCGTGTCTGCCTGCTTCTCGCCATAACTCGCCTTTTTTACAAGCCCTTTGATGAACCGTTTCTCATACTGGGAATCTTCGATAGCATCTTCTTTCTTCACCAGCCCTCTCATGAAACGTTTGTCCGTTTCCACTTCTGAATCTTCCGCATCATCATTGTCTTTCTTAGCGTAATTACGTAGACCTTTAATAAACCTCTTGTTTTCTTTTTTCGTTAGCCCCTTAATGAAACGTTTTTGTTCATTATCAAAGCTAGAAAATTCTTCGTCGACATTATTCATTTCATCGTCCGTTAATTCATTATCTTTCTTGGAGAATTTACTAAACCCTCTCATAAATCGTTTACCTGTATCGATTGTATTTTGCCCTTTGCTTTCTTTCTTAGAATACAAACCTCTCATAAACCTTTTATCAAGGCTGGATTGAGATTCTTTCCCTATTATATTCTTCTTACCAAACCCACGCATAAACCTCTTATCTAGTTCTTCTTCATCGAGATCCTTACCATTATCAAAACTATGCAAGGGATGATCGAGTGAATTGTCATTACTCACAAATTCATTGTTTTCACTTACGTCTGACTTTTTATGTAAACCTCGCATGAATCTCTTGTCCTCCTCTGACTTTCTGACTAATCCTTTGATAAACCTTTTATCAAGTTCTTCGCCACCAGCATCGGACTTTTTACCCAGTCCTTTTATAAATCTCTTCTCTGACTCACTGTCGTCTGATTTTTTACCCAACCCTTTGATAAATCTCTTATCCGTCTCACTGTCGTCTGACTTTTTACCCAGCCCTTTGATAAATCTCTTATCCATCTCATTTTCGTCTGATTTTTTACCTAACCCTTTCATAAATCGCTTATCAAAATCACTGTCATCAGACTTTTTGCCTAACCCTTTGATAAATTTCTTATCCATTTCACTATCGTCTGACTTTTTACCCAGCCCTTTGATAAATCGTTTATCAAATACATTGTCAAACTCTACCGCTGAGCCCGGTATCAATTGTTTGTTATACTCCTCAGCAGCTTGGCTGAAGTGTTTTTTAGTCAACCCCCTCATGAATCGTTTGTCACTGGATAGGTTGCCTTCAAGATTAGAATCTTCTTCACTGACAGGGCGATACTTTTTGGAGTACATCCTAAAGCCTTTCATGAATCGTTTGCCGTGATTTTGTTTGGTGTACGGACGTAAACCTTTGATAAAACGCTTATCCATACCTTGTCCAGCGGGGCTAGATCCCAACCCATCACCATCCAGAGTGTTAGCTCTACGACCATATCCATTTAACCCGACAATAAATCTCTTTTCGTTATCTAGTGCTGCTGTTTGGTCACGCTTAGTTAGCCCACGCATGAACCGTTTACCGTAATTTTGCAAACCATGAATAAATCTTTTATTGTAATTACCGAATCCGCGCATGAATCTCTTGTCGAACCTGGCAAAGCGATTTAATCCCACAATAAATCGTTTTTCTTCCCCGTTATCATAATCCACGCTGCGTAGTCCTCTCATGAATCTCTTATCATTGTCTGCGAAATCCTGAAAATTGCTGCCTCTTAAACCTCGCATGAATCTTTTGTCGTCTTTTTTGGCGTACTTGTTAAAACCTCTCATGAATCTCTTTTCAGCCAGTGTCGAATCTTCTTCATCGCCATCCAAGACATCGAAATCTCTTTTGAAATTCAGTCCCCTCATAAATCGTTTGTCTTCACTAGTTTCAGAACTACCAGAAACCCGCTTGAGTCCCCGCATGAATCGTTTGTCTTCTTCAGGGAGGTTGAGAAAAATATAATCAGTTGAACCAGTTTCTGGGAAATTTGGGATGTCATCTTCATCCGGATACATATCACCTTCAGAATAGATATTGTCATTAGCAGAGAAAAAGACGTTGGAATCGTCCGGAATGTCTGCGCTATCTGTGAGAGTTATTGGAAGAGTATCGCTATGGATCTGTCGATCTTCCTCAGAGCTTGCCAATGAAGGACTGACTAGAAGTTGGGAAGCGTCTTTGCTGAGGTCTGCAATAGGAGTTTGTGTGAGAACACTGGAAACGGCTTTGTCACTGATGTTGGATTCCTCGTGTGTAGATGAAGCTGGTACTGCATTCTGTAGACAGGAAGAGATACATGCTTGTTATAGTTCGTTCAGTAACTGTAAAATAAAATGGCGTATGCAATAAATTAAAAGACATAAAAAAGAAAACTAGAGCTAAAAGGCAGCTAGATGGGAAATACATGTTAGGAACTGACCAATACAAGGGACTCCACAAAATGGGACGCAGTTTTTCGTTATTTTAAAGCCCCTTTACAGCAGTTGTCGGGATCCGTCATATAACCCAACCTATGGGTTGAAGGAAGTTTATGGGACTTGTGTCCGGGCGATCCTCACTCGAGTGGTGGCACTTTGAGTCACTCGGTGTTAGTCGTTCGTTGTACGGTCCTAGTGGAACTGTATGCGAACTGCATGCGACAGCAAAAGAAAGGGCGATTTGGTGTTAGTGTGTTGAAGGTCTATTTTCTCTTAAGGATAACGAGCAGAAGAGGAACAATGTAATAAAGCGGGTTAATTTATGTTTTCACTTTCATTAAAACCGTCTTTTAACCTGATAATTTGGTCGAACCATTCACTTTGACAATTTTAACAATACGCACTGGTTTAAATGTATGCCTGTAGGGCCGACAGAGAGGGGGCGGGGTGGTTCGCTAAGCCCTGTCGGAAAAATTCTAACGCACAAGAGTATCATTGTCCTGCAAGTTGTCCTGCAGAAGGTAAAAGCCACACAGAAAACCCGCACAGATTGACCAGAAGTCTTCAGCCAAAGTCTTTATCAACAGTTAGAGCAATGACAGGAAGGATCCTGCGTAGCAAACATAGGACATAAGTCTACAGCCCCCCCCCCCCCCCGACCCAAAAAAAGGGGGGGGCGGGGTGTTTCGTAATTACCAAGCCAAAATCCTACTGACCCTCTTTTTCTATCAGCGAGTTGATGACACATAGACAGTCTCGTGTACAATGGTCATGTCCGATGTGCGTTGAAAAGGATCTTTCAATGAACAGAACAGTTTCATTATCCTAAACAGCTCTGGAACCGCTCTTGGGTTGCTGGCCTCTTCGTTCCCGAACTGTGCCGCAATATTACTGTTTTATAAGGTCAGTTGAGAGTCAGAAAAAGAATTCTTGCTTGCTACATACATCAAGTTTTAACATATGGCTGTGAATCCTGGACAATCGGTAGGCAGGCCAAACAATTTCTTGAGGCGGGAGCCCGAAGACAACTTATCACAGACATCAGAAGAAGACAGTCATAATTATTCGGCCATGTTATGAGAAGAGGGAAAATAGAACATGTGGTGACCACTGGAAAGATCTGTGGAAGGAAGGATAGAGGAAGACAACGAGAGAAGATTCTTGACAGTCTTGTTGCATGGCATGGAGGTGTGTCGGCACACGAACTGATACATGCAGCAGGATATAGTAGATTATGGAGAGGCATGATCACCCACGCCTATCAAAGGTTGACGCCCTACTGATGTTAGCGCAGTCGATAGGAGACTTGCTTTCAAATCTTGCTGCGATTCGCTGCAGCACACGGCCGGGTTTCGAAACCAGGCGGTTCGCGGGGTTTACTGAGCCTCTAGGAAATGGGTACCAGAGTAAACACTCAGGGGTAAATGGAGAAACGTCGCTGTAGCTACGGAGTTGCGTCGGACGGCGACACAGGCGGACAGTTTCTCATCAGCTATCCGTACTGGTGGCAGAGCAATTATGGTTCATAACCGTGTGTAATAAAGCTGGTTCACATCCCCCGACTTTACCATACTTTTGAAGTTTTCTGACAAAACAAGAGACTGACTTGTCCTTAAGTCAACTGACGTTAATATTTTAGGCTGCAATTGCCAGGATGATGATAATAATTTGAACGAAAAAGTAAAGTCAATTACTTCGGATAACTTAAACGTCCTACCGGTTGGGGGAGAATAATAACTATGACGATGATGTAGCTTCTATCAGAGATACGTCAGTTAAGTGATTTTTGTGTGTTCTTGTTCGTGCTTGTGGAATTGTAAATTTATGTAATGTACTGATGAAGGCTCTATAACCGAAACGTTCTGTTCTAGTTTGTGACATTATGAAAATCACTGGCTCTACTCTGCATGTGGTTTTATATCTGATCATGGCAGTAAGCTAGTATTAGAGGCTGCACGAGCCTATCACTAACTACCTATCCATCTCGTTCTTCATGCTTTCTCTTACAAACATCTACATCTTTTCGGAGTCGGAAAATAAAAAATAAAACATTAAAAATGTATCTCTGTGCAGTGTGTGTGAGTGAGTGTGTTTGTGCATTCGCGTGCGTTCGTGCTTGTTTGAGTGTGTTGACGTGTGTCTGTGTGTGAGTGCGAGTAATTGTGTCTCTGTGTGTATTTCTGTTTGCCTTTTCTCAAAGGTGTCTCGATAACAAAAAAAAAAAAAATGAGTCTCCCCACTCGCTTTCTATTCACCCCCTCCCCCTTTTCCCCCCACCCCAAAGATAGAAAAAAAAAGAAATAACTTGAATCAGACTGTGTAAAGAGGGCGGGAAAAAAAAAGAATTACAAAAAGGACACACACACACACACACACACACGCACTTGTACACATGAGAAATGCCTTTACAAAGTCTCAGTTCGCTCCAACACAAACAGAACACCACAATTCCTAACACCCCCCCCCCCCTCCCTCCCCATTTTCCCAAAAAACAAAAATTACAGCAAGCAAGAAATTAATAGAAAGAAATGAGAACTCCACGTCTGGGCAACAAACTGTCAACGTTTGAATGGAGATAAAACAGTAACTGCATAAACATGAATTGAAATGTATCGATTCGCATGCTTCTTCGGCAGAAATCGAATTAAAACTGCGCCAATGCATTGATAGCCCAGAATGCTTTTCTACCAATTTTTAAAAAAAAAAGTGTTTAACTGTATAGCATAACGTTCTTTGCACGAGAACACCTTCTACAATAGACTAGAAAAAATATCAAATAATTTAAAAACACATAATGAAAACAGCTAAAGTATTAAAATCATTTTTTTTTTAGTTTTTTAGGTTTTCATTTAATTTTCTCGGTGACAAAATTTGTGAGCATCAAAAGCAAAGCCATTTTCTGACCATATTACGAAACAATATTGAATTTAGACAGCGTCTTAGCAAAACAAATGCCCTTATAACGCTTTGGATTATAAAGTGTGATAAAATCCTATTCAAATCTATCAAATCTATTTTTAAGTCATACAGAAAAATTCTTCATCTTGTGCCAATATAAATGGCACAAAGCTCGCAGTAAAGTTCCTCCTTTTCTTTCTTTCTTGTATCCTTAGCTTCTTTTAAAAACGTTCTTAAGGGCTTCTTGCGGGCGTCCACGTATCCCCAAGCTCTTTGTTTCTCATCCCAGTGTCTGTTTAATATTTATAAATCCGCATTTTGTCATGATATGCCAAAAATATTGTCGCTTTCGCTGTACTATGAACTGATTATTTTCTTTAATTCACATCATTTACTATTCGCCGACCGGTGGGATGCTGTCCACATCACCCACCAAGTGCTGTTTGGTCTATAAATTATCAATCTAGCCCTATATTACTGTTTTATTTTAGGGCATAGTATATAAGTGACTCATTGAGTGTGAAAGTGCATGAGGCGGGAGTACTGGTGAGAGACCGAGTTTCATTCAGGCAGACTGTGATGAGAGCGACGTTCTGCAAAGGATCTGCTACATGATGATGATGAGCCCTGTATACCCAATACGTCTGAAAGGAGGGAAAAAGGGTACTTTCATTAAATGTTCGCCATTCCTGTGTGGGTTGCGGGGCCTTATTGTGAGGAGAACAAGAATAGATCCACTGCCTTCCCCATAAGCACGATGAGAGTGTCGACAGTTTGGGAGTTTTCTTCAAAGTCCGAGTGAATCTGCATAAGAGTCAAGGAACCAACAGTCTGCTTACAAATAATTCAGATCTGTAATACGGATGTACACGCACCCCTTAGGTTGTGGAACAATTACAGTCCAGAGTTGGAAAAACACCAAGAATTTTCCGCCGGAGTTTCCATCCGGTGAACGTCAAGAAGAAGAAGAATGTTCGCCAATTTCCTTCGGCATTTGTTTTCGTAAGCATTTAACTTTCGTTCCTTCCATGCCTTTGATGGTAAGCTGGAAAATAACTTTCAATAACGGTTAGTTGCGTATCCTTTACAGGACGTTGTGTTGTTTTTCTAGGCAAATTTACGTCCAGTAGTTTGCCATTGCTTTCTGGGCGGTCGGCTTTCTTGATACCACTGTCGCAACCAACACATGGCCAGCAGCTGGGATCGAAGCCGGCATCCCGGCATTACGAAGCGTCCGCATCGACTTAACCACAGAGCCGACAACTTTCAATAAAAGAAAGTAAATTACATCTTGCAATGTTTAAGGAACGGGTAAATACCCTGAAAAGGATTTTTTCTGTCTCTCAAATCTACTTAAATAGCAAAGGTCAGTTTAACTGGTTTCAGAGAAAGTTTAGTTTTAATTAGGTTCTAAACATTTTTGGAGCTGGTATATGCTTGACGTCAGAGGGATGTTTTCGTTTTTTAAACTGGGAATTACGTCCGGCATTAAAATATTTGATTATTTTGTCTTTGGTTTTTGTTTTTGTTTTTTTTAGTTTTTTTTTGGCTGGTGTCTTTTCAGTTTTGTTCCAAGTTATTCATTGAAACTCATCGATTGCATAGTTGAGGGCATTTTAATAATACAAGTAATAATGAATGTAGCCAATAACTTGTCTTTTTCCCAATCATCTTCTTTCTGTCCTGTCCTGTCCTGTCCTGTCCTGTCCTGTCCTGTCCTGTCCTGTCCTGTCCTGTCCTGTCTTCCTTCCTTCCTTCCTTCCTTCCTTCCTTCCTTCCTTCCTTCCTTCCTTCCTTCCTTCCTTCCTTCCTTCCTTCCTTCCTTCCTTCCTTCCTTCCTTCCTTCCTTCCTTCCTTCCTTCCTTCCTTCCTTCCTTCCTTCCTTCCTTCTTTCTTTCTTTCTTTCTTTCTTTCTTTCTTTCTTTCTTTCTTTCTTTCTTTCCTTCTTTCTTTCTTTCTTTCTTTCTTTCTTTCTTTCTTTCTTTCTTTCTTTCTTTCTTTCTTTCTTTCTTTCTTTCTTTCTTTCTTTCTTTCTTTCTTTCTCGTTCCTTATCGTTCTTTCTTTATTTATTCATTTTCTTTCTTTCTTTCAGTCAAGAGAAAAGTTAAGTTTTTAAAGTCAAATGGATCACCTCATTGGCAATAGATATTATCCCGTATAGCTTAGTCTCTGTGAAGTGTCTCTATCTCTTAAGGTCGCGGGGTCGCTTTGAGAATGCGTCGTTCGGTGCAGTGGTGCAGTTTTTACGGAGATTCCCGAGGGGAATCGTCGCTCCATTTTTGCATGTGAATATGATATGTACGATATCTCTAAGGGATATCTCAACGGCGCAGGAATATTTCTGGTATAACTGCTTTTCTTTAACGTTTGTAATTATCTCGATAAGAGTTCTGTTGGGAGTACCCCATTAAAGTTATAAAGCTAACATAGCCCGAAAAAATTTTGAAATTTAAATAGTGAATATCTTCTTCTTCTTCGCGTTCACAGGCTGCACACTCCGCCGGAAAGTTCTGGTTGTTTGTCCACTTCTGAACTGCAGTCCTGTTTCAGAACCTGAGTGTTGCTTGTGCATCCGTTTGACAGATCTGACTAATTTTATGCAGATTGTTGGTTTCATGCCTCTCAGGCAGACGCACTCCGACTTCAAAAGATGCTCTCAATTAGTCGACTCTTACCACATGCTTTTGGGTAGTCAGTGGGTCTATTCTTGTTTTTTTTTTTTTTTTTTTTCTATAATAGGGCCCCAGAACCCATACAGGGAAATAGTGAATATGGGTTGCAAGATAACGGTTTTGTAGATGAAAAACAAAATGGAGAACAACATGACTGATGGCGTTTGACAGAGGCAACTGTATGAAAGAATATGCCGTATTATTGTTATGTCGGGAGTTGTCAACAAGCTTCATTGCAGACGGTTATAAACCATAAGTGCTCTGCCACCAGTACGGACAGCTGATAAGAAACTGTCCGCATGTGTCGCCGTTCGCACGTAACTCCTTAGCTACAACGACGTTCCTCCATTTTCCCCAGAGTATTACCTCTGGTACCCATTTCCCTGAGGCTATCGAAGAGAGGATAAGGAAGGAAGAAGAAAAGGCTGGGTGAACCTCGGGAACCGTCCGGTTTCTACTATCGAATGTGCTAAAGCGGTTCCCTATTGTTATGTTGTGTTGTGTTATAACAATCGACGTCACTGCACACTGGGCATTCTCATGCGTGCTCAGTTCTCCGATGCAGCAGCCACTCCAAGGTACTTCCACACAATGTTCCCGTGAGAAGTTGGTTATAATGTCCCCTATCTCTGCCTCGAATGCGGCATAAACGTTCTTCACCCTACGTTACTCCCATGTCACGCAATCGTGTTAGTGTTATAGATTCGTCATTATCCACTAGCCCAGTCCGTACAGCGCTGACGGTATCTGCTCTGCCCATGCTTCTTTCCACATGCGTTGGTGAACTCCTTGCGGTATTTTTAACACTATCCCTGATGACAGTTTGGTATTGGTAGTTCATTAGGTCGTCAAGTCAAACAAAGGACCCTTTCCCGCGCCTTCGGGCGTATTGGTCATATAAGGCTAGAACTAGATTTTATAGACCAATCAGCGCTTGGTGGGTAATGTAGTCAGGATCATGCCAGCCGCCTTTACTTCCCAGGACTGCACCTGGGACCCACTCGAGGCTGGCTCGACCTGGAAGCAAAGGTTATTTTCGAGAAAATAAAAAGTTCGGCTCGTCAGGACTTTCCGATCCGCAAGCGAGCTTGTAGCTGCTACACCACGTGGTTCCCAATGTATTATTCAAGTTGAAAGCAAAATCTCTAAGTTTTAACAGCCCTCGTGTCAGAAGGCTGTTTGGTGTGAAGCTCCAGGGTCTGATTTAAAAATAGACAGAAAGAATAAAAAAAGGGGGCGGGGGGGGGGGGTAAACCCACTGTCCCTCTACCAAGTATGTAAGTAAAAAAAAGTAAAGGACCCTTTAGACGCCTTAAGGCGTATAGGGCATATAGGGCTAGACCTATATTTTTATAGAAATATGGCACAAGATGGGTGATGTGGTCAGCATCACGCCGGCCGCCTCTACTTCCCGGGATTGCACCCGGTACCCACTCAAGGCTGGGTCGACCTGGGAGCCAAGGTCATTTGTGAAGAAAAGTCCGTCTCCGCCAGGGAGCGAACCCACCACCTTCCGATCCGCGGCGAGCGTCTAGCCGCTCGGCCACGGCGACTCCCACCAAGTATGTAGTAAGAAGCAAATAATTTGATGTTTTGAATGTGTTGAGCATAAAGTGCAGACATCGTAGCCTAGCTGTCAACCGCAACACAATGTCCCCAGCAAATTTGTAAAGGAGAACGCACACGATGAGTACCAAGGAGGACTTGGAGGAGATGTTATAATCTTCATTCATTGCAAATGCAGTCGCTTTAGCTCGGAACTATTTCCAAAGAAAGGCGAATTCTTAAGAAATGCCGAGTGTCATCTCATTGTAGGATCTAAT